TTCAGCAACCAGCTTGAGTTCTGAGGCAAACACACAGTCGCTGGCCTGTGAGTGGACGGGAACGACACGGAGACGGGCCCTGCAACCATGTCGGTAGCGGTTATGAGCCCACTTCACTCAATGTTCCACGCGACATGTGCCGTACACGCTTGCCACATTTCCATTCCATGTCTTAGCCATGCGTGGCGTATGAGGTCTGTGGGCCATCGGTACTAACGGCAGCAATGTCATGCAGTCCGCAATCGCCCGGTAGACGTGTCAAAGAGGTCTACATTTAGCGAGGAGTGAGCTGTCTCGTCTAAAACTCTCCTGTACCAGGTGAAGATTCGAAGCAACCGATTACTGTTGGCTGCGGACTAGGCCACGTTGGGTCGTTTCGTCCTCCAAATGATTTCGCTAGTACAGCCGACAGATGGCATAACTTTTGCGGTGATGCGATTCGTACTGAATCACGATTACAATTCCCCTTGACTGTAGTACCCGCTGTGGCTTTGTAAACGAAGTGTGGATCAAACACGGAGGGTGTCGGTATGATCCGATAGCTGAGACCCGTCGGTGAGCGAGCGCTTCTCGACCATGAACCTCAGGGTCATCGAAGGATTCTGTCAATCCAGCGGTGTGGCCATGCTGTGGAGCGTGCCTGCGAAGACAGGATGACAGGAACTTCTGGGCCGTTGTGATCTGTGTCAAGATCGCGGTTTGGGGTGAAGCGTCGTTCTATGTTTGGCAGATGCTCCGGCGTGGACCCACGAGTTTGTGACACGCGAAGTGTCACAACGTTGCCGGCGGGCTAGCCGCTACAGATGGCGGAATCTTTGGTTTGAGGCTGGCGCATGGGATCGTGATGTGGCACTGCTCCATAATGGCGGTGGCAGAGATGTCATTGAGACGGAGAGTGAATATAGTAGGTCTCGCATCGTGCCTAATACCTGCCTCAAGCTGCACCACCTTCTTTCCCCACCTGCGCCTTCGCTCTTTCGGCCACGACATCGTCGTGCACACTTCACGTCTCCCTTTTCTTCTTTTTTGTACAAGGTCGAGCCGGGCTCTTCCTTCAATATAATCTTTACTTCCACGACGGGTTACACGATCACCGTTAGCAGCCATCACACATCGTTACGACTCGCGCCCATGCAGTAGTACAATCCCTCGCTTCCTTCCTCTCCTTTTCATTTTGCCTGGAGCATTTATTACCTTTGACCGAACTGTCTGGATACGTTCATCTTTCGCTGTACATACTTTGCGAACATACTTGCCGCCGCACCCGAATAACGACGCCGATTAATATCGCACTCGCCAACCTGCACACCAAGCGCGCTTAACGAAGCTCGATCACTAAGACAGAATCAAGCGACGATGTTATCGGCAACATACCAGAATGGGGAGCCGTTTAGTCCGGCCAAGGTTCATCCGCTCCTGTCCCCACAGGCGCCCAACTCAAGTTTCTCCGACCTTAACCCCGTCGATGCCGATGCCTCATTTAATAATCCCACCCGCCCAGAGTCTCCACAGCCTCCGCAGACCAGCGTCCACTGCCCCCAGGACGCGCCGTATAATGCATCGGTAGTAACGCAAGAAATTGGCGGTACGCCCGCTGCAACACAAGATCCAGCCAGTCTGACCTCGGACGAATCCTCCCGCAACGACGACCCCACCGTTATCACCAAGTCCTCGTCCATCGAGAACCTCTCCGTCCTCCCGCGCGTGCCCTCTTTTGGCGAGCATCGCATCCGGAAGCACCGCAAGAACGCCTGCTCCATCGACTCTGCGATCCCCCGCCAGACCATTCTTAAGGCGTTGCAGTCTCGGCCACCACCATCGTCGACGTCACAGTCCATGGACACCGCCATAATGGAGAGCGCAGGGAAGAGTGCGCGCTCAAAGAGCATCACGCACTCGCAACTCGCAAAGGCGCTCAACGAGCTGGAACTGCACTCAGCCGACCTTTCCGCCAGCAAGATGGCTGCGCTCGCATCACCATGCTTCTTCCACAAGAAGTTTGACAAGGCCGTGAACCTTGGAAAGGTCATGGAAGAGATGAGCGATGCCGAGGACGACACGATATCGCATTCGCGACTCATGCAGACTGCGAACAGCGTTCGCGAGGTCTCCAAGCAGTTGCAGCGCCGACCCATCAAGATGACGGTGCGCAATGTCATGATTGTCACCAAGGCGCGCGACAACAACCTCGTATACCTCACGCGCGAATTGGCAGAATGGCTCATGACGACCTCGCGCTACGGCTCAGACGTGGGAGTGAATGTCTACGTAGACCACAAGCTGCGCAAGTCGAAGCGCTTCGACGCAGCCTCGCTGTTGGCCAAGGACAAGCGCTATGAGAACATGCTCCGCTGGTGGACACCAGATCTATGCTGGGAAACCCCTGAGATCTTCGACCTTGTCCTTACTCTCGGTGGAGACGGCACCGTCCTCTTCACCTCATGGCTCTTCCAGCGCATCGTGCCACCGATTCTCTCCTTCTCGCTGGGCAGTCTCGGATTCCTCACCAACTTCGAGTTCGCACAGTACAGGCCCGCGCTCGACAAGATCATGTGCGAAACGGGTATGCGCGTGAACCTGCGCATGCGCTTCACATGCACTGTGTACCGGTACCAGAAGAACGCCGCGGCCCAAGGCTCACCATCGCACATTGAAGCCGAGCAATTCGAGGTCCTCAACGAGCTCGTCATCGACCGCGGCCCATCGCCCTACGTCTCGAACCTCGAGCTCTACGGCGACAACAACCTGCTGACAGTAGTCCAAGCCGACGGTGTCATCTTCTCCACGCCCACAGGCTCAACCGCCTACTCCCTCTCCGCAGGCGGCTCGCTCGTGCACCCAGACATCCCCGCCATCCTCCTCACCCCCATCTGCCCGCACACCCTCTCCTTCCGCCCCATGCTCCTCAACGACAGCATGCTCCTCCGCATCGCCGTGCCCCTCAAGTCGCGCGCAACCGCCTACTGCGCCTTCGACGGCAAGGGCCGCGTCGAGCTCCGCCAGGGCGACCACGTCACCATCGCCGCTTCCCAGTACCCTTTCCCCACCGTTCTCTCCCAGCCCACAGAGTGGTTCGATAGCATCAGCCGCACGCTACGCTGGAACTCGCGCGGCGCGACACAGAAAGCGTGGGACGGTGATGAGGATGGCGAGGAGGCTGAGGAGGAAAAAGAACCGGATTTCGACATCGACTTTGATAATGACGACGTTGATCGCGATTCTGGATACAGTGCTGAGGGCAGTACGGTGGATGGCAGGGGCAGTCCGATGAGGAAGGGTGTGGTTCTGCCTTTCTTGTAGGCTTTGTCATCCCCTTGCCTGCCTGCGAGAGAGGTGGATGTGTATATGACATGACAGGGGAACGTTTGTCTATTCTCTTTCCACTGGTCATCCACTCACGCATCGTCATTGCTGCTTGGGCGGGTCCCGGTGGTTTCCTTTTTGGGTTGTGTATATGATGGTCGTTTTGGGTAGACGTCAGTCACATAAGCATGCATCTTTCGCACAGCATTTTTTTTCAAGTCATTCGCTTGCGTTGGTTTGTTGGTGAGCGTATATTGCGAGAGCTATGATATCCTTAGAAAGCATGTAGATGAGTTCGGTGGTAGTAGTAGATACTAGATAGTGGTGGGTGTGACGAATGGAGAAGTGGTTGGTTTGGCGAGTTTGCCTGCCTCCCTTTGGCTACAACTTGTTCTTGTTCCTTTACTGCGTGTCGCACTATGTCTTTTGAGCATATACCTGCTTATCAAGCTTGTCTCTGAGCGCATCATCTACAAGCGCGTCCGCCAACCCGGCGCCCCAGCCCGCGCATGTAGGTGGTATACCTAGGTATGCAATCATTCTCTGCGAGCACCTCTTTCCATACGCGATTACTACCATAACCCGTCCGGAGGGCTGGCTTGGTAGCATCCAAGCCGGTCCCTCCCGATGTATCAAGGTCGGTGGGAGTGTCTTCCCTGGAACCGTGGTACTGTAACGGAAAACCGCAGAGAACCAGATGACTGTCACGACCGGAGAAACATTATCTTGCTGCCTACATGGCATACAGAAAAATAATTCAAACAGCTCATATACCCATAATCATCTCCCGAGGTCGTCTTAACTATCAAAACAACCCAGTCTCATCATAATGTCGTTTCTTCGACCCATGATGCGCACACGCATCTTCAACGCCTCACGCCCACTTTCGCGGCAAGTACGAGCGGTGCATTCTACAACGCCCGTCTCAAAACCCATTGCAGAAAGAACCACCCACAATCCCGCACTTCACTGCGCCACCTGCCCCTTTACAACACACGAACGGGTCTACCTCAAAGCGCCACTTACCGGAGGACCATTCCTGCCAGACGACAAATTAGTCAAGGCGATAGAAAAATACTATCTCACACGCGCAGCCACCGCGCCAACAGACTACTCCGGCGCCGACAGCGAGAAAAACTACAATGTCCGCACCAAGAACCTCGAAGCCGCCCGCTGCGAAAGGGAGGATTTGATAAAGGAACTCCTCATCAAGCAACTTGCTGCAAAACATGAGGTATCTGAGCGCGAGGCGAAACGGGTTGTACGGAGTCTGGTGCGTGATGTTGAAGGCGTCCGCGAGAAGACGCAGCGGCGGGGACGGCGGGAGATGGGACGGCAGAAGAAAGAGCAGAGACAACAGAGGGACTACCAGAGAGAGGATCGTAGGACGTTTCGTCGTGTGTTACTTGGACATGGTATAGTTTTAATCGGGATATGCTACTTGTTCAAATCGCTATGAGCGAAGAGATGGAAGTAGGTGGTAACATGGACGTTGATTGCGACTACCAAGGCATGGAAATCGGCAAATGTGGTAGTCGTGGTGGAAATGGTTGGTAGACTTGCATTAATACACTTCACTCAAATACACTTTGGTCCTGGGGATGCCTGCGCTTGGTGAGCGTTGCAACTGCCCTCTCATAGTGACTATAACTTCATTTTCTCTTTTCTATCCGTCTCCGTCATACAGATGTAGTCTATCACTTCTGTTCGTATGGATCCCAATGTCTCTCTTTCCCAGCCAGATCTTCAAGCTCGTCAAACGTGAAGGGCATGTCCACATAATTGTAGAAGTCCAAAACGGCTGTGGTTGGGATAGTCAACCATTCAAAATTTCGCTGTGGACCATACCGTGGATTTGTGGGCACAGCACGAACAGGGTCGTAGTCCGCGTCCAAAACTTTGACCAGGCTGAGATCAGGATCTTGTAGCACCTGAGCATCCGCCAACAGGAAGATGGCGTTCTGCCAGTTGTTACACTGTAGCCCTCTCATCGGCTGACCCCCACTTCCTTCCCGATAGACTTGACAGACGTCTTCCATCGATAAGTCGTTCAAGGTGGTGGGAAGTGAGCGTGCATCAAGTCGAAACTGATCCCTTGCTTTTGCGACAGTGTCAGGCATCTTATTTGCCCCCTCCATCTCGGGGAGACCTCGTTCCACACCATCGGTGATGTCCTTGAGCAGCCTCTTCCACTGCTCATTAGAGCCAAGGCCATAATATGTTCTGTAAATCGTATAGCCCCAACGTACCAGAAGCTGTACTCGATGCTCTTCCGCCTCGCAAAGGTGGTCGAGGAAATCTGAAATGTTTTCCATAGCGGTCGGGGGAACAGAGATAAGGAGTGGCTTGGGTAGATTTGTACGTATGAGTCAACGTTGGTAGATGTATTGCCTTTTGGAAAGGCCGTGCCAAGTAGTAAAAGAAAGCAGTTCGTCCGGCACTTCAAGACGCTAGTATGTGGGGTATCCCTGCAGTTTCGCCACCGGACGGGCGAGGTAGGCGGCACGGTCGCTGCTGCATGCGCAATTGTGATGTGGGCAGAAATGGTACTCGTGCTACGGGATCGATGGAATTAAAGCGCAATACCATGGAAGCTTGTACGCCTCACGCCCTTGACCTTGAAGAACTTGACGAGGTCGTCATCCCGCTTTTGCTCGAGCTCTTGGACGTCTTTACCTTGAAGCTCGCCGGAAACGCTTGAACCTAAGGCATCAATGCTATCCTGTGACCAGTCGAACTTGTGTTCCTGCATATCCTCAACCCAGACTCGGCTTGCAGGTCCTAGATGCTCAAGAAGGTGCTTAAACCCTTCACTGCCACCGCCTCCTCCCATTGCATTCGCCAGGAATGGCCCAACCATGGCCCACCGAGGCCCCAGACTAGTAGTAACGCAAGCGTCTGGCCACCTGTGGTCAGCAAACCAAGGAAGACATGGGGAAAACGAGAGACTCACCAAGGTCCTGGGCGGTGACTATACCACGAGCCACTAGGCTGTATGCCTCATTACAAAGGGCAGCTTGAAGACGGTTGGCGACAAAGCCGGGTACTTCCTCCTTGATGTGAACAGGACGCCGTCCCACGGACTCGTAAAAGACCATCGCATTTGAGACAGCTAACGCACTTGTGTTTGAATGTGGGACAACTTCCACAAGTGGCATGAGATGAGGTGGGTTGAATGGGTGGCCAATGAGTACTCGTTCAGGGTGCTGACATTGGCTGATGAATTTCGAGCTTGGAATGCCTGAAGATGAAGAGGCGATGACAACATCTGGTCGAACAGCCGCGTCGATCTCGGCAAGAAGTTTAGTTTTAAGATCTGGCCTTTCGGGCGCATTCTGTGCCATCCTATTAGCTGGTGAACTTGGAGAGCAGCTGATTATATGCACTCACCTCTTGCAAAAAGTCCACGTCTTTGTAGTGTCTGCCTAAAGTCGCGCCTACAAACTGGTAGTTCGAAAGCGAAGCGCTGGATGGAGAGTTCGAATCAGCTTGTGGCACACCGGATGAGTCTAGTGTTGCAATTACTTTTCATCAAGACCCATGGTCTCTAGCGCAGGCCAGATACTCTCCAGATAGGACGCCAGTTTCTCCTCTGCGCCAGGTGCCGGGTCTGCAACAATCACACGCAGGCCATGAGCGAGAAAGAGACCGGTCCACGATGCTCCAATCACGCCAGTGCCAACAATACCGACAGTACGAATGGACATATTCGAAAGATACCAGAGTTCCAAGACTGCGAAGGATGGTTGCAAAGGTCTGTGAGGAAAGATTGGATGGTTACTTTATGGGGGCCGTCGTCCCTTTAATGCGATCGCAGGAACTGAATCGACTTTGGTACGCATCGGCCGGGCTGTTACATGGAGGTGTACATTCAGATGGTGTGCCTACACGGTGAGGGCCGGGAAGCTGCGACCAGCGTTAGTACAGGCCTTTCTTTTTCGCACGAAGTTCAACAACGTCAACATAGTATATCCGCTCGAAAGACCTACTGAGGAGTATTGCCTGCGAATGAGCTGCAACCAGTGTCGCATCGGATCTTCCCATGGCTCGCCCGAAAGGTCGGCCGAGTTCTGTTAGAGAGTCTACGACATTGCACGTTGCATCATGCAAGGTTTGGTCTCCAAACATCATCATCACTTGATAGTAGAACAGATTGAACACCGTCCCAACCAATCCATGGATGAGAGCCAATTGGCGGTGCCGAGGCAAGATTGGCCGTCAGCCAATGGGACGTTGAGCCGGGAAAGAGGCCCAACCGAGGCCAAAGCTCTTCACGTGGTTCGATCGGCTCCCCCGGGCCTCACCCAACGTGCCGACATTCTGTTCTGCAGGCGCAGCCTAGACGCTGCACCTGGCATCAAGACTTCGGCGTTCGAAGATGCTACTACCGTCTACGGGCGTAAGCCACAGCCGCCAATGGAATGTTACCCTTCCCAATACGATTGGCTGCGGACTCCCAGGTATCGTTACACAATGGTTGTTTCCAAAAAGGAGTTCATCCATACATTATAAATGTCACCAATGTCTACAGAGTTCCTTCCTGCACATCCTTCTACTTTTCAGAGAAGCATTCTCTTCGTTTCCTTCACCGCTTAGCTAGTATCAACGTTCTCCAAGCACGATTGTACCCTCGTCATGGCTGTACATCAAACGACAAAGGACGCCTTTGGCCCTGGAACATTCGTTGATCGCGACTTCATTGGTGTGCCTGCCGATGCGAGTAGACTACTGAAACACCTGGCTGGTATCACACCTGGCTTCACGACCGAGGAGGCTGCCCTGAATGATGTCGAATTCTCTGGGGGGGAACTACCCATCATCCCAGGACCCTTGAAATCGCAGGTCTTTGTGCGTGCTCATTCCTCCCTAAATTTCAAAAATCACCATGTGCTCACTCTCTTTGCGTAGTCCGCCGTTCTACATGCCATGATCGGCGTTGTTGCCAAAGAGATCAGCGCACTTAAGGGCATCCAAACGGGTAAAATTCACATCGACACTGACAAGTGTGGTCTGTACCCTGCCACCGTAGCCCTCGTCGACATCGACGGTAAAGGACTCGGTGATGTCAAGACCGATGGCACCCTTACAAAAGCCAGTCTGGATGTTGACAAGGGCTGCGTCAGCAAGAATCACATGTACATTCGCTCGTGGGCCATCTACCCAACTCGGGATCCTCGCGTCTGGTATCAGGTAATGAGTAACCTCAACGCCCCAGCATTTTTCAAGGCCTACGATATCGACGGAGAAGCCCCTGTTGGCAACAGAGAAGAAGCGTATGAGCTGATCAAATCCACCATCTCCAAATATTCAGCTGCCGAACTTGACATCAAAAACATGGAGAACGGATTTTGCGGGCAGACTTGCTTCACACCACGACACTGGGCAGAAACGTCGATGGGCAAGCGACTGGCTACGCATCCTTTGATCGACTACGCGCAGGTCAAGGGCACTTCGGCATTGCCACCCGTACCCTTTCCACAGACTGGTGATGCTCGCCCGTTGGCCGGCATCAAGATTGTTGAACTAGCCCGCGTGATCGCTGGTCCAGCAATGGGAGCGGCTCTTGCAGCCCTGGGCGCGGACGTCATCAAAGTTCAAAGCCCCGACCTCCCCGATCTGCAGGTACGAGGCGCTCTACGCTCTATAATTACATCGATCTGACATTCACTAGCCTTTGAGTATCACGCTTACCGCCGGTAAACGTACATATGCGTTGGACCTTCAGAAAGAGGACGACAGGCAAGCCTTGACTGACCTTATGGCGGATGCGGATGTCATGATCCAAGCGTTCAGGCTACGCTCTCTCGAGCGGAAGGGCTTCGGGCTACAGGACTTGGTTGAGATGTCGAGGCAACGTAACAAAGGAATCGTCTACATTGATCTCAATACCTATGGACCGGACGGCTACTACGCAGAACGCCCGGGATTCCAGCAGATTGCCGATGCCGCTTCTGGATGCTCTTATGTCTGTGGCAAAGCTTATGGATTCGAGGACGGTGTCAGTGTGCTCCCTGCTCTTCCCGTTGCCGACATGCTAGCTGGCGCGGTCGGTGTCGTCAACGTTCTCCTTGCTCTACGTGATCGCGCAACTAAGGGCGGATCGTATCACGCCACCTCAGTCCTAACGTCAGTGGATGTGATACAACTGGGAGAGGCATTTGGATTGTATTCGCCGGATACAGTGAAGAGAATCCAGGACAAGTATGGTTTCAAACCCATGACACCAGACCTGCACGTGGAAGATCTTCTCTACATCCTTGGGGAGGCTTGGTCAAGCCATTCGGACCTTCTGCGCCGTGATGGATACATGGTCACTTTCAACGATACGGCGTATGGCAAGAAGCACTCAATATTATCTCCGATCGTTCGGTTTGACAACGATGATGTCAGTCCTCGATGGAGCCATGGACCTGTAGGATATTGTTCGTCAAAGTATGAGACTTGGGCATGATCACGCGTTGGCGATACCGCTCGTTATCATTACAATTAGATAAGACGACATTCTAGTCAGACTATAGAACACGATGGTCTTACCACTGCCATCCTCACCAAATGACCAAAATGGCTCCTCCTGTGTCCGCTGCACACCATATCCCAGCATCCTCGGGGTGGCACAACCCACTGATTTCATCGAAGTTATGGACAAATACTTCATACTGCAACCCTAAAGTAGGCTCAAAGCTGCCACAACTGGTACGAGGGACGTTTTCATGGAGAGCCAGTCGATTGAAGGTATTTCTGTATGGTCGTTCGCCGCGATGCGAATGTTTCCAAGGTTGAGTTGTATTGCAATCCTCATTGGAGCAGGTGTTGCGAAGAGATCAACAGGATCTGAATCACCAATGGCCCCTCTTGTTCACGAGCACAGCCTCATCGTCAGTATGGTAACTCTCTGCGACCTCTGTCGCGCCGTCCAAGCTCTTCGTTTCCGGTTCTTCAATGACAATCACCGGTCGGTTCATCGCGCCATAGTTGTCCGTGTGCCCCTTCGAGATCTCCACCTCGACATGTGAAGGCCGGCGACTGTCCTTTGGGGATAAACTGGGCTCTGAAGTCACAGTGTATTGTGTTGTGGCCTTGATGTTGCAGTCATAGGCATTGGCGCTCTTGCCGATGTTGCCGAGCTGGACGCTGCCCCGGGTGGAGGCGAAAGTATTGCTATAAGGTTCCGATGCATGGGTGGATGGGTCCTTGAACTCGTGTACTGCACCAGTGCGGTTGAAGTTCGAGATGGCGATGCGTCTGATCAGGTTGGCCATGGCCATTTCGATGTTGAGCTTGACGAGGTAGCACAGCGAGTGGAATTGGACGTAGCTAAGATGGCGAATCGTTAGAATGGAGCTAGATAAATAAGTGAAGAATGACTCACACGAAGGCTTTGGGAATAGCGGTAGCGGCGATAAGCATGACATCCATTAGGATTGACAGAACGATGATGCGCTGGTTGAATTGAACGATTTTGTTGTCTAAATGTAAGTGTAAATGTCAGCGATGACCTTGTAGTGTAGCATGAGCATGGATTGGCTTACACTTTGTGAGACCGTTGCGGATCAAATTGTTCTTCACCATTCTCAAGAAGTACCAGTTGAGCGCCAAATCGATAATGAGGAACAGACACTTCTCAGTGCGATCCCAAGCCGCTGAGATGAACTCCCAATAGTGGCTAATTTGCATCCGGGCTGGGATCCAAATAATGAAGCCGCTGATGATCACTACCGTGATATAGACAGTTACTGCGATAAAAATGTTGTCGCCGTGCTTGCGGTTAACATCAATAACTCTGATGCGATTGACGATAATCTGGAAAAGAAGCATGACCTGGAAGCTCCAGCAGGCCACTATGCAGAATTAGTACAGTAGTGGAAGGATCAATTCGGTAAATGCAACTTACAGATTCCAAAGTAGAAAGCAAAGCCTGCACTTTATCAGCTCAGTGTTTTCGAGGGCATGGATAATACTCACTCGCTGGAATGTGTTTCAGCACATGCAGGTAGCCAACAAGACCCAACGCAAAACAGGCCCCCAGCTCCAACCAGGCCATCCATAAATAAGGACTTCGAATCGGAGTTTTCGCCAATTTAGTTTGATGGTAGATCTGCCACAAAGCGAGTATGACGTTTGCCAACGTGAGGGCCCATGGAATGGAAGCGACAAGGACATCGAGATTGGTGAACTCGTCTTCTGTGTAATCGGGTGAGATGAGTGGCCCCCAAGGCTCGCTCACGACACCGGGTCGGTAAAGATCGTTCAGCATGGCGTCTACTAGAGGCGCTCTCGTAGCAAATGAGTGTTGTTTGCGACTACGAGAGTGGACTGGATGCTGCTCAAGATACAGATGCTGGCCCGCGAGGCATAGTTAAAGGATCTCAAACAACATCTGCGGAGATGCTCCCGAGTTCATGGCACCGACATAGTTTAGCCATGCACGATCTTGATGGTATTTGTGGGCGGGAAGTTTAAACATGCACCATCATGATGGTGCCTGTTGACGGGAATCGGCATCTCGCCAATATAGCGTCGATCGGAACTACATCCGCTGCCACGTGCTGGAGAACGTCTAGAGCGTACTCTGGACAACTTTAAACTTTTGACGAATGCGAAGGTCCCTACGGTGCGACTCTTGTATTAGTCTAGAGATGGAACATTGTAGGTGTTGTCTCTTAACTTTTTCAACGGGGCAACAGATGACGACAGGTTTATGTGGCTG